CCACATCGAGGGGTCCTCCACCCGAGTTGGAGTCGCCTGAGGGTCAGAGGTGGCGCAGCACTGGTGACGGCCAGCAGGGGGGGCGGGCAGGTCCGAGGTTTTGGGCTCGGATTTTTTTTTTTTTTTTTTTTTTTCAGCTTCAGGGGCCGTTCTCGGGCCCCAGGGCGAAAAACAGACCTGGGATGAAGAGCTGCACCAGATGGACCCCAGAATGGGTCAGGGGGCCGTTTCTGGATGGGTTTGGCCTCATCCCCCCCGAATTTCTCGGGCCGCAGCCAATTCAGAATTCCCAGCCGCCTCCAACACCCGAGGCATTCAATTCGAGGATCGAAGGAGTTAGCATCTGTCGCCACGCCGTTTGTTCTCGACGCGCCCAAGTGGACGACGCCGACACCACGGCGAACCCACGCCAAACACACGGCAAGCCCTTCGTCCGAGGCGGCGTTTGCCCCGGTGGCCGCCGCGCCCTCCCCAAGACGGAAGACCGCGCGCCGGAACAAACATCGCGGCGCCACCTCTACCGCGGCGGAAGGGAGGCGGAAGCACGCGGGAGTAAGGCGAGGCCGCCCCCTGCGGCGGAGGCCTCTGGAAGGCTGGCGGAGTCCCACGGAGGCAAACGCCGGTCCCCCAAGAGATGGCAAGGTTTTTTGGGTTCAGGGCTTCCAGCACCTCGAGGAGGTTGGCGACCCCTCCTAGGACGGGGCTAGGACGAGGATATTCCAAATTCCTTATGAATCGACCCGCCCCCCAAGAAACCGGACCCCCCTCCAAATGTGGCCTAATATTCCGGATCCCCCTCTTCGACGGGGCGCCATAATAAACCGGACCCCCTAAGCTCCAATCCACAGAAAGCGCCCTAATAAACTGGACCCCCCCAGTTACACAAAAAAGGCGTCTTGAAAAACCGGACCTGGGGGACGATTCATAAGGGACTTGGAGTGCATCCGTTCCAGAGCGTTCCGGAACGCTGTCAGAGCGTTCTGGAATGTCCTGAGCAGGAGGCGGCGTCCGAGACAGCTTCCAGGGCCGCTGGATTTTAGATATTTTCACTTTATCCTCGCCCGATTTTATCCTCGTCCTGGCCTCGTCTGGCCCCTGGTGTTAAGTCGGGCCTGTAAGATAGTATGGGGACGATTTTTTTGATTATCCTTTGGCCATTTTGGAATATTTTTTTGGTAATTTTGATTCTTCCTTCAAAATCCGCCTGTATGGGGGACTCGCCCGACCTAACCCTGGTGGCGAGCCCTCTTGGCAGGAGGTGCAGGTGTTGCACGGCGCCGTTACCTGCTCGGACGCAAGGGAGGGACATGTACGGTACGTTCGTGCCTTGCCGACGCGGCAGCGACCCCGCCGAGGGCGTCACACTTTTCACGCCGCTGGTGGCCCACAGTCGACCGATATGGAGCTATCTGCCAATCGAGAAACCGCCGATCGTTCAAGGTTGAACGGTCCACGCGCCATCAGAAGCATACACCAGTGTCGTCACCGCACGAACCTGCTGTATCGAGTCACCGACGACGACGACGTCTTCGTCTCGGAGGTTCTTGGGGATGAGCTTTCCGCTACGGATGGACGTGGGTCGAAAGGCTGGCCAGGACGGACTCCGGGCGGGGTCTGGGTCGATTCTGAGCAGACTGTGCGACGTGGAACAATGGTGAGGCTTCGGGGGTTGCACAACGACCCCTCCCCAGGTAGTCTTGGCCGGCTTCAGGACTGTAGTAGTCCCAGCTGGCCTCAACAGGCTCCCCGAGCAGTCCAGAGCAGCCTCAGCACCCTTGCGCCGCCTCTGGCGGCGCCCCTTAGCCGCCCCTCGGGGCGCCAGAGACGGGGGCACAGCAAACGGGGGTACGGGGAACGCCGATTTCCACGTCTGGCTATGCCTCGGTTTAGGGGGCCTTGGGCGCCGTACAAGGGGGTACAGCAAACGGGGGTAGATGGAAAAGCCTCAGCCCCCGTTTAGCTAAACCCCCGCTTACAGAGCCCCGAGCCCCGCGCCCCAGGGGGGAGGTGTGGTACCGCCCAGGGCTACTCGGGGGGCCTGTTGAGTCCAGCCAGGACTCCTATTAAGTCGGGCCTGTCCCTCTACAGGGGGGATATTCCAAAATAGTAACAAATAGTCTGGGGACTATTTTTGAATATGTTTGGACATCTTTTGGTTTTTTTGGGGGTTATTTTTTATTTTTCGTCGAAAATCCTTTCGTTTGGGGACACGCCTGACTTACGGCTGCTACAGGGGGACCTGCCGAGGCCAGCTGGCGCTGTCCGGGGGGCTGTGTCTGTGCGCAAAGCGAAGCCTCACCTCGTGAGGCTCCAGCCTACAGAAGGCCAGAAAGCTCCAGAAAAGACATCCTCATCAGGTGGTTCCTCCAGAAAAGACATCATCAGCATCCAGATAAGACCATCCAGAAGACCAAAAGCTCCAGAAGCTACAGATAATGAGGATGTTAAAGCCTGGATCACCAGAAACAAGTGGCACGCGTGCCCTGGCTCTTGCACTAAGGAGCCGCGAGAGACAGGAGGCTTTCGCCTCCTTCCTCCAGGAGTTTATTTTTGTGGCCGCAGGGGGGAGGACGAACGACGAACGAACGACGACGACGAGCGAAAATAAAGAGGTCCGAGCTCTAGAACACAGCTGCGCAAGATAACAAAGGGTCCAGAGCGAGGGGGACTGGGGCCAGGGCCGGGGAGGGGGATGCTGGGTCCAGGGCCAGGGCCAGCGGGGCAAGGGGGGCGGGGGGCCAGGGCCAGGGGAGGAGGCAGGGTCCAGGGCCAGGACCAGAGGGACGACGACAAACGAAAATAAAGGGTCCAGGGCGAGGGGAACTGGGGACAGGGCCGGCGGGGGGGAGGCTGGGTCCAGGCCCTGGGCCAGCGGGGCAAGGGGAGCTGGGGCCAGGACCAGGGGGGGAGGTTGGGTCCAGGGTCAGGACCGGACCAGGGACCCAGCGGGGCGAGGGGGGCTCCACGGGGCCAGGACCAGGTGGGGAGGTTGGGTCCAGGGCCAGAGTCGGACCAGCGAGCGAAAACAAAGGGTCCAGCAAGGGGGGGAGTTGGGTCCAGGGCCAGGACAGGACCAGCTGCCAGGGACGACGACGAGCGAAAATAAAGGGTTGCCAGGGCGAGGTGGGCTGGGGCCAGGGCCGGGGGGGAGGCTGGGTCCAGGGCCAGGGTCAGCGGGGCGACGGGGGCTGGGGCCAGGGCCAGGTGGGGAGGTTGGGTCCAGGGCCGGGACAAGAGGGACAACGACAAACGACAGGCCCTGGGCCAGTGGGGCGAGGGGAGCTGGGGCCAGGACCAGGGGGGAGGTTGGGTCCAGGGCCAGGACCGGACCAGGGACGACGACGAGCGAAAATAAAGGGTCCAGGGCGAAGGGGACTGGGGCCAGGGCCGGGTGGGGGGGAGGCTGGGTCCAGGGCCAGGGCCAGCGGGGCGAGGGGGGCTGAGGCCAGGACGGGGGGGGGAGGTTGGGTCCAGGGTCGGGACCGGACCAGGGGCCGGGGACGACGACGAACGAACGAAAATAAAGAGGTCCGAGCTCTAGAGCACACCTGTGCAAGATAATAAACTGGTCGGGGCGAAGGGGGCGGCGCGCTGGGCTGCTGGGGAGAGGGGGATGGGGGGGGGGGCGACGACGACGCCGAAATAAAGTGGTCGGGGCGGAGAGGGCGGCGCGCTGGGCGGCTGGGGAAAAGGACAAGGGGGGCGACGACGACGCCGAAATAAAGTGGTCGGGGCGGAGGGGGCAGCGCGCTGGGCTGCCGAGGACAGGGAGAAAGGGGGGGGCGACGACGACGCCGAAATAAAGTCGTCGGGGCAGAAGGGGCGGTGCGCTGGGGTGCTGGGGAGCGACACGTAGCGACACATGTCGACACAACGCCGAAATAGGGCGACGACCCCCCTGTGACGCCGAAAATATAAAGTGGTGGGGCGGAGAGGGCGAGTGCGCTGGGCTGCTGGGGGGAGCGCGACACATGTCGCACAACATCGAAATAGGGCGACGACGACCCGAAATAAAGTGGTCGGGGCGGATGTGGAGGGCGGGTCGCGCTGGGCTGCTGGGGAAAAGGACCGGGGGGGGGGGCGACGACGACGCCGAAATTAAGTGGGTCGGGGCATGAGGGGGCAGCGCGGGCGTGGGCTGCTGAGGAGAGGAGAGGGGGGGGGCGACGACGACGCCGAAATAAAGTCGTCGGGGCGGAACTAACGTGGGGCGGTTCGCTGGGGTGCTGGGTGAGCAGAGCGACATAGCGACACATGTCGACACACGCCGAAATAAGTACGTCGGGGCGGAAGGGCAGCGCGCTGGGCTGCTGAGGAGAGGGAGAAAGGGGGGAGGGGGCGACGACGACGCCGAAATAAAGTAGTCGGGGCGGAGGGGGCGGTGCGCTGGGGTGCTGGGGAGCGACACATAGCGACACATGTCGACACATTGCCGAAATAAAGTGGTCGGGGCGGAGGGGGCAGCGCGCTGGGCTGCCGAGGAGAGGGAGATGGGGGGGGGGGCGACGACGCCGAAATAAAGTCGTCGGGGCGGAGGGGGCGGTGCGCTGGGGTGCTGGGGAGCGACACATAGCGACACATGTCGACACATATCGACATATAGAGACATATATCGACACACACACACACATATCGACGCATAACGACACACAGAAACACATAGCGACGCACACATGGAGGCGCATAGCGACACACAGCGACACATATAGCGGCACATGAAGGGCACAAGGCACACAGCGACACATATAGCGACACATGAAGGGCACAAGGCAGCTGGGGGGGAGCGACGACGACGCCGAAATAACGTGGTCGGAGCTCTAGACACCCTGTGCCAGAGAATAATCTCGAGCACCAGAAAGGAAAGTACCGAAACTCGGGGGTTTTCACGCGTCGGGCCCTGGGAGACACTCGTCCGACACTGTTTCGACACTTTTCCGGGCGCTCGATTTTTTTTCTGGGATGTGGTCCTTGAGTACGGTGGGGGCAACATAAGCCTCACCATGGGAAAACATGCCGATGCAGATTCCACTGTTGTTTTCGTTTCCTTGGAAGCCTCCCGGGAGGCCCTCGTGGCCATGGCCGGATTCGCTGCGGAGTCGTGGGAAGAACGCGCCCCGGGAGGTCTGGGGCAAGCGGTATCGTCCGGGCCGGCCAAAAGGGGGGTGATGATTAGGGGGGGATCTATCATGGCTGGGGTCATACATCCAGAAGGTATGGAAAAGTATGGGGAATCCTGGGATCTGTGTGTATTTGTGTGTGTGTGTGTGTGTGTGTGTGTGTGCCTGGGCCCCTTCGCTTCTGCCCTCCCAGGACGAGGGCTGCGTTGCGGACGCGGCCGTGCCCACGCCGCTGGCGCCGAAGTACGGGTGGGGCGAGGGACGCGGGGCCCCAGAGCACGCTGGGGACGGAGACGCGGACAAGGCTCTCTCCAGGCGTAAGTCGGGCCTGTCCCTGTACAGGAAGAGTAGTCAGCAAGAGTCAGGGCATAGTCCGCGGACGATGCTTCGACCAGCTTGGGCAATTTCTGGGCACTTCTTGGGTATATGTTTAACTTTTTCTCCACAAGCCGCCTGTAGGGGGACATGCCCGACTTAACTCTAGGCTCTAGGCCTCCCAGATTCGGCGACTTGTACCCGTCACGTGATGCGAATCGGAGGGGTAGGAGGAGGGGGAGATCAAGAGGAGGACGAGGAGGGGGGTCCGGTGGCGAGGGATGGAACTTCGCATCACGTGACGAAACCTGTCTGCCTACAGATGGGGTCCGAGCGGGTGGGGTCGGAGGATCGCGCCGCACCGCCGGTGCATCGCCGGTGCGGCTCGCTGTGTTCCGGCGGTGGCATCTATACACCACCACCGCGCCAGACCAGGGCCGTCCCGGGCCCCAGGATGGTGCAGATACCCTCCTGGCCTCGGCCAGGATGGCCTATACTGCGGGCAATAGTTATATCCATATCCAGTGCGTCTTGGATTCTTGGGCTCTCTTCCCCAGAAACCGTAGACGCACTGGATATGGGTAAAAATCTGGCCCCAAGAGGCTTGACTTTATCCATATCCAGTGCGCCTCGGCGTTGCGGAACCTCTTCCCGAAAAGTCCACGACGCTCTGGATATGGATATAAGTACTGCCCGCATATACACACCATGCCAGGGCCAGGATTCGAAGAAGAGGAAACGCTATAAGCATAAGCTTTTGGCGCTCCGCGCGGACTTCGTGGATCCGCGCCCGGGCTCCCCTGGCGCGCTCCACGCGCCAGGGAGGGGGGTCCAGCGCGAATCCAAGAAATCCGCGCGGAGCGCCAGAAGTTTATGTTGTATGTGTTTTTTCTTCTTCCAAGGACGACCCTGGCCTGGCATGGTGGTGGTGTACAGATGCCTTCTGCGTATGTGGAGCCCGTTTCGTTCCACGCCGACGGCGCCGATGCATCGCCGACGTCACCGCTGCACTCGCCTATGCATCGCCGATGCATCTGGCGATGCTCTGCGCGAGCCTTCGGCACCAGCTTTTCGGTCCCAATCTGGGAGTTCTCCAGGTTCGAGTCGGGCCTGTCCCTCTAAAAATATAGTCTGGGGGCGATTTTTGGAGTATTCGGAATATTTTTGAATATTTATTTGGGGGATTGTTTGATTAATTTGCATACTTTTGAGTGCTTTCGGTGTATTTTAGATTCTTCGTCCGCCTGTAGGGGGACATGCCCGACCTAACTCTAGGTTCTGGGCGTGGTGCCAGAGGCGTCCACTGACGCTTCCATTGTCGCTGGGTCCCCTGGGTCTTTTGTCAGGCGAACGTTGTCACTACTGGGAGGGGAGAAGCCGCAGTGGCAGTGGAAACATCGCACTGGGTGGAAGGACTACGATCGAGCCTCCTCTGACAAGATCGAGGCGGCTTTCCAGAGGGGCCACCCGAAGGCCCGACTCAAGGCCGGCAAGAAGAGCAGCAATCCAATGGAGATCTTCTTCGCAGACATGCTCCAGCACGATGCCGTCACGGGGAACTCGAGGGACGTCCGCAGGGTGGGCGCGGACCCGTGGTGGGACCGCTTGAAGCGATACGCTTCGTCGTACGTGTATGCTTGGGACACTGGGCTTCCGAGGACGGAAACGTTGGAGACGGCGAAGGCGCGCAAGAAGCTCATTGAAGCGGGCGGCGTCAGCGGAGGTTCATCTCAGCAACAGGTTCATTACTACTCGTCTGGCCCTCTTGCGGACGTCGCCAGGAGCAAGGTCTTCCAGGGCTTCGGCACGTTCTTGGTCGCACTGAACGCGATTTGGATCGCCATAGAGCTGGATAACAAAGATGAGAAGTCCTCTGTTGGGTTCCAGCTAGTTGAGCATGCGTTCTGCGCTCTGTTCAGCCTGGAAATCGCCATCCGATTCGCAGCCTACAGAAGAAAGTGGCTGTGCCTGAAAGACAGGTGGTTCTGCTTCGACACGGTGCTCGTGCTTCTGGTGGTGCTGGACTCGTGGCTGCTGCCGATCGCTGGCATCCTGGCGGGTCCTGAACACGGCGACGCTATCAATGGAGACTTCACGGTCCTGCGAGTCGCACGACTGCTGCGCCTCACGCGCATGGCCCGCCTTCTGAAGACTATGCCAATGATGATGACGCTGTTGAGGGGAATCACCACCTCTATTCGCCCTGTGAGCATCGCTGTGGGGCTGCTTATGATCATCATCTACATATTCAGCATCATCTTTAGGAGCTTGGTGAGCCTGAATGATCCCGGCGGGTTCCTCGAGAGGGAGTACTTTCCCAGCGTGACGTACACGATGTTGTTTCTGTTGTTGCACGGCACGTTCCTAGACTCGGTCGGGACGACGGGATTTCACATCAATCGGGAGGGCGGTGTCTTCATGCTGTTCGTCTTCCTATTCTACATTTTTGCCACCAGCTTCCTCATGCTCAACATGCTGATCCGAGAGGCCTGCGCCATTCCGCCGACCCCCGTTGGTCACAACGCTGCAGCGATCGTGGGCCGTCTTGGAGCCATCCTGTGGCCATGTGGGGCCATCTTGCAGGAGGGGGGGAACACACAGACACAATTAAATGTACCCCCCGTGGGAATACATGGGGAAGCGGGGGGGTGAGACGACAACCCAGAACGTGGACGAAAATATGGGGGATCCTGGTATTTTTGCGTATTGATTTACCTATTTATTATACAAGTGGCACGTGTGTGCCCAGGCTCATACAAAAAAATGAAAGGGCGTTTGAAGCAGGAAGACACCATGACTGCAGGATCGGAGATGGAGAAGGGGAAGCTGGGGCGGCGCCGCCAGGGCGTGCCTAAGAGAAGGGGGAAGAGGCAGGAGGTGAACGCAGAAGAATATAAGATCGAGGTCGCACTCGAGGGCGGGCCCCCCGGGAAACCTCAGGAGGCCCGACTTGGATACCGGAAGAGGCTCCGGGAGGCCCCAGGATTGTGTGTTGTGTGTGTGTGTGATGTGTGCTCGGTGTTGTGCGTGTTTTCTGTGCGCTGTAGGTGTTGTGTGTGTTATGTTTGTCTAGCGTGTGATGTGTTGGGTGTGATTTGTGTCTCTGTGTGTGCATGTAGTTCTGAGGGCCCAGGAGGCCCCAGGAGGCCCCAGGGGGCCTCAGGAGGGCCCGGAAGAGCCCAGGAGGGACCAGGGGGCCCCAAGAGGCTGCAGGAGGCCGCAGGAGGCCCCAGGAGGTTCCAGGAGACCCCCAGGAGGCTCCGAGGCGGGGTCTGGGGCACCAGAAGGTGCAGAAAGCCCCAGGAGGCCCCAGGAGATCCCAGGAGGCTCCCAAGAGGCTCCGACGCGGGGTCTGGGGTGCCAGAAGGTAGGGCTCGATTTTGGGAGGATGTCTCAGGCGAAATCGCCATCCTCTGACAATCGGGGTCACAATCATTGAAATTACAATGTGTTTCTGAAGGTTTTTACCTAACATCGAAGACTGATAGGTTTCTAGTGGGGTAAAAAGAGAGCAGCACATTACTCCAACATTACTCCACAGGGGGGTCTGGGCAGCCGTTGGGGAGCCGTTGGGGGCCGTTGGGGAGCCGTTGGGGGGCCGTTGGGGTTTGCCGGGGGGGATCGTTTTTCGCATACAGTCACACACTTCGTGCTTTTCGATTTCCCAGAACTCCATTCCCGGGCCACATTCTGAATGCCCGGAGCCAACTGTACGCCACTTCGTGCTCTTCGATTTCCCAGAACTCCATTCCCGGGCCACATTTTGGATGCCCGGAGCCAACTGTAGGACACTTCGTGGTCTTCGAGTTCCCAGAACTCCATTCCTGGGCATGATTTTGAATGCCCGGAGCCAACTGTAGGCCACTTCGTGCTCTTCGAGTTCCCAGAACTCCATGCCCGGGCCACATTTGGAGCCCTCCGCCTCCTCTTCCCCTCCCCCCATCTCTGACTCCTCCTCCTCCTCTCCTCCTCCTCCTCCTCCCCTCCTCCTCTCCTCCTCGCTCCTGCTCTCCTCCTCCTCCTCCTGCTCCTCCTCCTCCTCCTCCTGAGGTCCCTCCTCCTCCTCCTCCTCATCATCATCATTTTTTTTTTTCAATCATCAGCGTTTATATCATCATCATTCATCATCATCATCATCATCATCATCATCCCACCACCATCATCACCACCATCATTCATTAGCATCATCATCCTATCACTCATTCATATCATTGCTCTCATTCTTCTCGCCTATACCGTCTTTAACACAATCATCACAACCACCACCATCACCTCAACCACCATCACCACCACCACCATCATCACCAGCAGCAACAGCATCATCATACTCATCATCATCATCAAAATCATCATCATCGCCATCATCATCATCAGCATCAGCATCGCCATCGTCATCGTCATCGTCATTGTCTTGACAGCCGTCTTTGGTTCAGGACGTGCTTCCCACATTGCAATCTTTCCGACGGAACCGGCCGTTCCTCCGCGGTCTACATTGCAATGGCCCTCCCCTGGCCCTATCCTTACCGGGCCTGCAGCCTCGGCTTCTCGCGGTGCTTCTCAGCCTGCGGAGGAAGACCGACACACGCCTGCGGCCGCGCCTGCTCGCGGTGCTCCTCAGCCTGCGTCTTTTACGGTCGCCTCTTTTAACTTCGGGTTCGAGCAGAGCATGATGATGGGGAAGAACTCCAAGACTCACTGCTCCAACTTCGGGCGGATTTGCGCCAAGATAGTCGAGGACGTCGATGCTGACCTTTTCTTTGGGTGCGAGGTCGGTGCGTTTCGTCAAGGCCTGAGTCGAGCATCCATCAACGTGAAAGACATCCTGACCAAGCCGTTCGGCGACAACATCGGCTTCTGCGAGGTCGCCAACTACTTGAGCCTATGGGGCTTCGGCGGTGCTTCTCAGCCTGCTGACGTTGCTCTGCGCGAGGACACATACATCTACCACGTCCCCATCGCGCGACAAGTGGACGCAGTGATCTCACGGTTCAATGTGCAGACAAGAGGCCATGACAAAGTTCACGTGGTCGTCGGAAACATGCACATCGTTTGCGGAAGCAACCCTCCCAGCATTCACACGCGACAGCGAGCAGTTCGGCTGCTCCGACTCCACTTGGACGGGATCGCCGTGCTTCTCAGTATTGGGGAGCCGGGCGCGCCGGGAGACGGAGGAGCAGATTGACGCGGTGGCGTTGTTCGCGCTGTCCCTGCAGAAACGCTTTGACGGCAGACCAGACAAGACAACGCATCTGCTCCCCGTGGTATCCGCGACAGGCAACCACAGAGCGATTTGGCTCGGGGGAGGCGGTGTCGGCAAGACACGCACCCTCTCCAAAGTGGTGGAGCCGATGGCCATCACTTACTTCGGCGAGCAGGGGTACCTCGGCAAAGCTCAGTCCAACCCCGCGGCACACAACCTCGGCCCGCGCGGCAGGACAATGCATTCCTCCAATGGGCTGCTCATGTCGGACTCCCTGCAGACCGCCAGGCTGCGCTTGACGCCACAGACGCAGAAAAAGCTGGACCGCCTCACAGGCACACACGGCGTCGACGTGATCGATGAGCTGGGTGCTGTGCCGGGGCCTTTGCTGCATGCCGATGCACTGCGCACGACCTACGGCAGGGCGTTGCGCTACAACCTCGACCCCGCGAAGTACATGCGCCCGCAGGAGACGTGGGGGCGCATGGCCGTGAAGATCTTGTGCGGGGACTTCTACCAGTTGCCGCCAGTCCCCGCCAGCGCCTCCCTGCTGGCGCCTCACACGGGCCAGTCCTACGAACACCAACAGGGTAGGAAGTTGCTCGCCGACTTCGAGTACGTCATCGATTTCGCGCAGATGCAGCGCTTTACAGATCCGTTGCAACTCGAGGTTCTCCACGCCATGAGAACTCCAGGCGGAAAAAAGATCTCTGACGAGAGCTGGCAGGCGATCGTCAAAACAGAGGTCGTTAGCCCTAGCGGTGCTGGTCAGCCTGCTGCCAGCAGCAGCGAAGCCGCTCACCCACCTCAATGGGGCCCTCGGTTGCGTGCAGCACGAGGCTGGTACGAGTCGGCCTATGAGTGGCGCATCGTCTCTTACGCCATGCATGCACAGGCCAAGCTTGATGCGCACGATGCTGGCCAGCTGCTCTTTTACGTCCCAGCAATCGACAGACCAGTTGCGCGCCTCGCGAAGCCTGATTTCGACGAGATGCGCGCGGAGCCCAACATCGGCGCTACCGCAAAAATGCCGGGGCTGCTGCCGCTCTTCGTTGGCATGGAGGTCATCCTGACAGAATCCGTCTTGCCGCCGAAGTATGTCCGTGGCGCGCCAGGCAAAGCGGTAGGCATAGAGCTGCACGCTCTGGAGCCTCCGGTGGAGGGCCGCCCGTCCATTGTCTCGGACGGTGTGGTCGTACTTTACTACATGCCAAAGGCCGTCTATGTCATGATCGATGACAGCGATGTACTTTTCTTGAAGGCCGCGCCGGTGACAGCTGGCGGTGCTTCTCAGCCTGCCGGCCCCGACCTGCGCGGAGTGCTCGCGATCACCCCGCAGGCGCGCCCCTGGAAGTTCAAAGCGAAGACAGGTGGCCCGGCCATCGCGGTGTCCAGGACGCAGTTGACCGTGCTGCCCAAGAAGCAGGGGACTCTGCATGGCGTCCAGGGCAAGAAGACGGACCCAGGCTTCATCGTGCACTGGACGTTTCCGCCAGGACTCAAGAAGGAGTCCATTTGGCTTGCCTACTACGTCAGCCTGTCGCGCCCCAGAAGCTTCAACCAACTCTTGAGCCACGTCTTGCCTGACCGGAGCATCATCGAATCCGGCCCCCCGGAACAGATCGCCAAGGCCTTCGCCGAGCTCTTCACGGACAAGATTGCCGCGACGAAGATCGCTTGCGCGCAGGCCCGACAGCAACTGGGATGGCCTGCGCGAGCTTGAGGAGCCATGAGATGCAGCTTGCGTTGTGGCGGTGCTGTTCAGTCTGTCCGTCTGCATTCGCGTGGTGCTTCTCAGCCTGCGCGCGCGCGGTGCTTCTCAGCCTGCGCTCGTGTGCAGCTGTGCGCGGTGAGCCTGCACGTGTCGTGCAATGCTTTTCAGCCTGCGCGCTTTGTAGCTTCTCCGCTTCGCACGCCGCTCCTCAGCGCGGTCCTCTGAAAAAAGGACAGTCGTCATCTCATCGTCGCACTCATCATCGCACTCATCATCATCATTCATTGCCAGCGTTGATAGCAGTGTCTCGTTTTTACACGACTCCCACTATTGATAGCAGTGTCTCGTTTTGACACACTTCCAGCGTTGATAGCAGTGTCTCCTTTTTACCTAACAGCGAAGACTGATAGGTTTCTAGTTGACTCAAAAGAGCTCACAGATCACTCCACAGGGGGGTCCGGGCAGGTGTTGGGGCGTTTCCGGGCGGCATGAGCCGGGCTCGTTTTTCACCCACAGTCACACACTTCGTGCTCTTCGCCTTCCCAGAACTCCATTCCCAGGCCACATT